AAATAAAAGGTTTGTATTTAAAATATCAACAATCCTACTTATTGATGTATTTATATYAAGTTAGAATTTCTTAAAATAAACAAGAAAAATATAAAGTTCACAAAAAATATTCCTTTCAATATTATTAAAATATTTTTCACATTTAATTTTTTTTTTTAATCTTTTAATTTATTAGCTTGCCCCTAGTATGGGCAAGCGTGAGCCAATTACTGCGGACCCTGTACTCCCACTTTTACTACCTCTACATTAAGTATTTTAGCACACAACAGAACAACACACCAAACAAACTCAAACTCACATGTGGTCCGTGCACAGGAAACCAATCCAGACCACAGTGGTGAGAGYCCAGCAGCTTAACCACTAGACCACCTGTGCCACCAAGTTTAAAAAGCTGTTTCAACTGTCAGTAATGATTGTCAGAGAGTGGGATTGCTAGTAATTACTTTATTTAAATTGTATAAGAATTTATTGTTAGTGTATCCTAAGGTCCCTAATTGAATTACAACAATGTGTTACAATACCTCAGTTAGAATACCCTTCTATATTACTATTCTATAATTAGATTTCTTCCAGTGAAGGTTCACAGCAACCAGAAAATTGTCGTCTATTGATCAAATCATCCTCCATTCTCCATAGACCAAACCTTACTTGATGAAGAAAATTAACAAAGCTGGAATTATCACCAAAATCTCGGTTCATCCTTTSAGTATCTAGCTTTGCTTTGTCATCATCATGTCCCATCCTAAATGGGCCATATGCATGAACCTGTAAGGCATACTGTGCCACYTAGTGGCGCAGAGTCACATAATGTTGCAAGAATGGGTCAACTCTTCCATTTTTTCTGTATGACTGCATCATGGCTGGTTCCAATAGTACTCTTTGTTGGTGAGGTGTTAAGGCATTTCTCATTGATGACACTTCATTTTTGAGTTCACCTAAAACCAATCARTAGAAGTTACATTGGACAATTTTACACTTTTCCACACGTATTTATGCCCAGGATATTCAATGACATTTCTTACCAATAGATACATCTTTTTTAAAGACAATTGAGCTGGTAGAGGGGTGACCAGCTCCACCAATACCAATGAAGTCTAACGCAGGATCACCTTAGTTATAAGAAATGACACCCATCATCAAAATTTCATCTTCCAAGCATTGCTATAGAAGCATACTAATTGTGAAACTTTCCACAATTTGCAAGAGAAATTTCACAGTCAGTGTAATATGTAACTTATATTATTGAGCTGTCCTCAGTTTCACTCGTATCGTGAATGTTTCAATCAGTATTACAGCACTTTACTTGCACCACAATCCATAATGATTCAAATAAATTATTTATATGCAATTTATATGCATTTTAAGAATTTTATTTCTCATCATTATCATTGCCCTGAACTCTTCAGAAAAGAAACTGTTTAATAATTACCATATTCCATACACATCTTAACCAACAATTTCATCCTCTCCCATTCTTTTGTTTGATAACCAAGCTCATAGCATACCCTCAGGATCAATATAGGAAGCAGTCTTGCTGAAGCAAGGAACTATTGGCAGAAATAAATACTAAACTATAATGCCACACAATCATKTTCATCAATAATTAGTCAGGCCGGCTGACTCACTTAGACAGCAAAGTTGACTCTTGACTTAGACGACAACATTGTCTYGTTTCCTAATTGACTCAGACGTTAAAGTGTCTACCTAACTGACTTAATAAGATGACTTGTCTAGCTAACAGTTCYACTTAGACCAAAAAGTGTTTGTTTAACTTATGTACTTGGACGAAAAAGTGTTTGGCTAACTGTGTGATTTTGTTGTCTGGCTAACTGTGCAGTTTAGATGGCAAAATGACCGATTAACTGATTGACCTACAATTCAGTGTCATGACTATGGACTGATAACAAAATGAAAAAGGGACTGGGACTGYACTTTAAAATCTGATTAAATAATGGTTCCAGAAAATTAACCATCAACTGAAAGAACAGTATACAAATAGCTTATACTGACAAAGTCTCACAATGTATGCAGACCTTTTAGCATTGGAACCATGCAAATGACTGAAAAATCGTTTGTCATTTTAGAAATTTGACCCCAGTCCCCAGTTCATCTGGCTAATCAGCCAATACCATTGATACCAGTCCYGCAATAATGTCAATGACACCACACCATCATCACCCACAATGGAACCACCACCAATGACACTGTAACCAACAACAATGGAACCACCATAAATAATGTCACCACACGCTATCATCATCAAGAGTGGAGCCACCATGCACCAATAATATCAATGACACCACATCATTTCATGGTTCTATTGACCTAGTTATATACACCAACAATAATTTAATACCATTGCAGCAATATTAAAAAGTCATCAACAAAGTATTTGCATCAATCAGTTGAGAGTCCAATACCTCATCTACTGCCCCYAACAGTGCTTGAAGTGACAAGATGCATAGTGTTTTGGTGTAGCCCATTCTCATACACATATGTGTACAGCTCATCCAGTGTGCAGTCTGTGAGACACGGGGAGGAATCTTGGCTATGGAACCAAAGTATTAATACAGTGTCAAACACCATGCACTATGATGTACATTCTTGTTTTTCAAAAGACTGTATTTACTCAGTGTTTACAACACTGCTACCCACAATGCACTTAATTCAGTAATCAATGTTCGGTATTTCAGTATTTCGTCAAAAAATGTTATTTCAAAACTCAAGTGGGCCAACYAGCACAGCAATAAGAGGGCATACAATGAAAAACGTGAAATGTTTTTTTTTACCATAATAAATTAGCAAAAACAGTCTCTTCTTTCAACTGAGCGTGTATGAGAGATGTGATGGTGTGAAAACAGTGTGCATGTCCCCTTATTGATACACTCTAATCATCCAATCAGTGTGCAAGAATTTACACAAGTGCAGTAAAAAAATATCACAACAATTGCAGCTACAGAAGTATAGCATATGATACATTTTTCTACCTACGTTCAAAGATGTGGCTCAAAGATTGAAACATTGATAAAATGCCAGCCCAAAGGACAGGGTTGAAATACCATTCCATCAGGTCAAAGATATTATAGAAGTGAATGACACCATTAGCATATTTGGTATGATTCCAGCAAACATCACAAGGGGCCATCTTATTTTTGATGAGCATAGTGTTCTTGACAGCAAGTTGGAAGTAGATGTTGGCCAGGATGACCAGAATAATCAAGGGGAGTATCATGAATACCTACAAGACATTTTTTTAAATGAAATTGATTATTCACCATCTGGTAATATTGACATGAGAAGCAGACTTCATTGTACTAAAATCGTTATTCTGCTGGTGGCCATTGTGGGACCAAACAGCCCCTTTCAATATATTTTTGTACTTGAGGAACATAAAATATTAATAATTGTGATTAATAATTGTCTTTTTGGTCTCTTTTTGTCTCTATATAATATGATTTATCACAATATTGTACTTTATTGACTCACCCCCATCCAATAAGTCTTTTGCAACAGACCCCACGCTGTATACCATAGGAATAACAGAACAGCAAGGAAGAGAGTGCCATTTAGAATCAGTACTTCAAAATTGTTTGTTTTATAGCAGCTTGTGACATCATTATCYAGGACAATACGAAATTGACCAAAAAATATCAGCATCATAAGTACAATTAAGGGCTGAAATACAATTATACTATATGAGCTGTGTGTAGCACTGAGTATCAATTCTTATAGTCAAAGCATGATGTGTATGTGTTGTGCTTAGATGATTTGTGCCTAATTGCACAATCAAATGAAATCTGTGTTGCTGTGTATTGTACCCAGAATGCAATGGGAACTAGGAGGAATAAAGTATGTGAGGTTATGTTGTAGTTTCATTGGAGAAGAGGATTAAATTCGGAACAAAAAGAGAATTAAATTCGACAATTCACAAGGTTAGATTAGATTCGGAGAAGAAGAGGATTAAATTCGAAAAGGAAATAGGATTATATTTGAAGTTAWATGAGTGATATATTGTGCCAGTGGTTGAGCATCCAGTTCATCTGGAAGTTCAACATTCAGCAAAGTTGGTGTGCAAGGTATGCCTAATTTTACTCCAACAGGAGAGCCTATACGCTAGGAAGCGATTGGAAACAAGCATTCAACTTGACGTGTTAACTCAGGCAAAAGGAGTCACGAAGGATGAGAAAAAGGTTGCTTTGTTATTATGCATAATACGACTACTCATTCAATATTGTGACCGAAGACCAAGCGAAGTCGTATCGTGTGTGTGTTAGTACTAGATGACCAATTCCTTATATTAAGCAGTGCCTTTCAAATTAGACATTCATTCAGAAAAATGGAACAACTGGCCAATGAAACTGTCGACCAATTTGTTTGCTGTTTGACGCAAAAGGCTACCACATGCATTTTCAGCCRGTGAGAGCAAGCATTCTACAACAACACCAAAGATTCTAGTAAGTACTTTAGATGAGATATTCCGCAGATATAAATTCCCAATCAGTATAAAAACAGACTCACAATGGACCCCATTTCAGATGTCGGGACTTTGAGATTATCTAGCTGATCATTACAAAAATGCACACATGCAGCTTCAACTGTGTAAGCCAAGCTAAACTTACCATAAATAAATGGTGACCCAGTCTTGTCAAAAATGTTGTATGAAATATCTCGTTGAGGTATAACTGATAGTGTAGGCTTAGTCCAGTTACATTTGTTAGGGGTGTAACAAAGAATTGTGCAATAAACTTTGGTATTGGCTTGTCTGATCMTAGAATACTTTCACAACACTTGCCCCAACATTGCATTTGCCAACTGTCTGGAAAATATCTCTTTGGTCTCTGAATAAAGATTTATAGTATTCTAAATTCTAAATTAACCTAAATTACTGAAACCAATTTGCATTTGCTTTTTAATTTAACATTAAAATCAGCATGTCACAAAAAAAAAACAAAAAAAAAAACAGGTGACACGTATATGATGACAACCACCAAAAAAAATTCTCTCACGACTGATATTTTTAAAGAATTTAATTCTTATACATCGAAACTGCTACCATTTGAAATTATGTTTGTAGGGTTTTTGCTCCAAGTGAGACTTTTTAATAACAGCTGAGTTAGAAAATAGCCCCATTATGCTTGAATAATTATTCTTAGTACATATTAATAAGTGYATTGATCATTGTTGCTTGATTAGTTCAAATGATATTTTAATGCATAAATTGATGTCAAGTTTTGTTTATGCTAGCCTTACCCCATCAKCACTGTTTTGATMTCCAAATACAATTTCTTGTTGCTCGACAGAGTCTGTTCCATCAGGATTATCTGTTCCTCCCATGCTGCCATACATCCCAACTGGCCTTTGCATTAATGATTGACTTGTGACAGAATAACTGCTTTGAATATTATGTTCCTTGAGCTGCTTCCAAAGAGACTCTGAAAGAATTTATAGAAAGYATAAATTACATTGCTGAGCTAATTAAATATGTGGTTTGCCTGTGATTTGAACATCTACTAAATAAAATTACAGTTTATATAGTTGGTATTGAGACTAGTCTCAGAACAGTTCTTTTTTGACAAAATAGTTTCTATGACAATCAATTTCAAGAATGTTCTCTTTGCTAATGTCACGCAACGCTGTCACAGACCTATGAAAACCAAGTACAATTCGATGTGCATAAAAAAATTTGAGCTTCATAAAGAAATATGTRGACCTTCTGGATTTCCGCCATACATTTTTACCYAATTTTGCAAATAATTCCGCAASCAAATCCTCTATAATCCTAACTTTTTGTCAAACTATATAGTTTTTTTATGCTCTAAAAYGATATGCATGTCATATTTTAATGCGCCAAGTAAAATAAAAATTGTGATGACYTAACTGAAACCCAAGAATTCATGGCATTTCTATGATTGTAATTCAAAAAGATCTATAAGTATATTCTGTATATTTTCCAAGGAACCATCAGAAACTTTAATTGGAGGTGTAATAAAAAGTATAAAATGGCACATATAGACTGGACAAAGTCTGGTTTCCAGTTACTGCACATGGTGCAATAATTGCAATCAAGGATTGGCTGGATACCTCATGAARAATTCTTGATATGAGAAATTTTGTCCAGACATGCCCTGTGATTGRTTTATTGAAAATGGCTCTATTTAAACAAAAAATGGATATTTTTTCTTGTGTGTWTTACTCTAGATGACGTCATATGTGATGTTGTGACTGTTGTCCTCATCACATGGATTTGAAGTGTTCATTGAACCAGATATTGACTGAAAATGGAATCTATTTGGAAATGATTAAATATAATATATATTTTTCTTTATTTTTTCCAAGAGCATGGCACTTCAAATTATAAATGAAACAGTTGAGRAAACACAACAGAGCATTTAAAAACTGGATAGTCCAGTCCTGGCCTCCTTTATTCGAC